TGTAAAGGTCGATTGACGGTGAATTGATTCCAGTCGATTCGAAAATCGAACACATCTTTCATTGTAGCCTCGCAGAAGCAAGAGAAACATAGCTAAAAGACTAAAAACAAGAAGTACAAATGGCTAACGACCAAAATAACGCAATGATTCATGAATGAAGAGGAAGCCATTAATGAGGAAGACATGTTTGTTGAGGATTTTATGACTTCAAAGATCATTCAAAGTCAATCAAGCATTTTTTTTACCTATGTTTGGGTAGCCTGATTTTCAGCTGAAGACAATGTTATACATCTATTCCAAAATGGACATTAGTTTTATGTTTGAGTTAAAAAAATCCATGTACACATGTTTCTTGATACTTGGAGAAGTGTCAACACTTTTGATATCAGGGTGTTTCAGATGATGCTATTTGACTGAGTTCGTTTCCATACACCTTGCATTATAACGCACTTGAGTGGTTGGATTCCCAACCCATTACCAGTATCAACACATAGAACGAGCTAGCCTAAATGTTCTACAAAAACCACTACAGTATATATCCTCATACCAAATCTAGAAGAGTTGGGGTTCATTGAACTATTGTAGGGTGACGTTGACATCAATGTGGTTTCATATGTGCTAAATTTTGTATGAATAGTCTAGGTCAATAATATGAAAATAGGTGAGAATTATAAGTCAGAGGTTAGTTTTTGAGAATGAGTGTTTAATGAGTGGCATTACACTAATCATTGCATAAAAAGGGAAAAGACTATTATGGTTCATGAATAAAGCTACCCTATACCAGATCCCAATGAGAACAAATATAAAAGTATCCCAAAAGGAAACTCAAAAGGGACAATGCTAATGCTTAAAACAAAAAAAAAGCACAAGAAACTTGGAAAGGCAGGCATTGAACAGAAGACACACTTCATGCATTGATTGAGTCTCAAACATTTATTTGAGAGAATTAAATTTTTGATAAGGGGTTATTAGACAAGTTCAATCTTAAAGGTTGAAGCAGTCAAATATCGGAAAGTCCTTATTTGTTGAAATGATGATTTACAATTAGTGAAATTCATCCAAGTATAAAAGGTAGAGATTAGTACTATATAAATTTAACCTTAAGATCACACCTTAAAAAAATAGTTAATAGAATGAGGAGTGTGTATCTTTCCGTGAAGAAATGAAATACTTGAACATTGAGGATAAGACTTGAATCAATATATGGGTTCATGATGTTTTATATGAATCTTCACATTCACACATTATTTTTGCATTGTATAAGTGGAAATTGATCTTAGCAATGTGGTTTTAAAGTAGTTCACAATTTTAACACATAAATTCCAATCCTGAGACAACAACAGGTTATCTAATGATGTTTGTTTAAAAATGTTATTTAAGTAAAGCTATATTGTGTTTGAGGACAAACAATTTTTCAATTTTGGTGATATTTAACAAGTGTATTTTGTACACTTATCTGGATGTTAAATTAGATTAGTTGTTATTGATTTTGATGAATTATGTTTTAACTCGATATATATTTCTTATTTATTAGGAGAAACACGATGCAAAACGATGGCATTGGACAACAGAAGCAAAAAATAGGTTGAAATAGACGAAATCTAATGTTTGGAGATTAAAATATAAACTTTTTCAAAAGTTGATTTGAGTTGCATACCGATGACCGAAGAGTGTTAGAAGTCAACAGGATGCAAAAGAAAGGCAAACGACTAAAAATATTACAAAAAGGTCCAAAATTAACATTATGAAAAGTTTGGGGACCAAATTACAAAAGCATTACAATACACAACATCTTATCATATTTGGAGTGAATATCCAGTTGAGTATTTCAGATTAAGGGTGTTTGGATATGTTGCTTATACACATCAAAGTAAAAGGTAAACTGGAAACCAAGGTTCGTTAAAGGTATTTTTTCAGGGTATGGTGAACGGGTGAAAAGGTACAAACTTAGGTTTAGAGATCACGGGTACAGGGTTACAACGAGTAAAAATGTGACTTTTAATGAAAATTAAATGCATTGCCTTGAAAAGAAAAATCAGAATGCTACTAATGAAAGTCAAGTAAAAACTATTGTTTTTGTTGATCTCACATCCTTAGATTTAAATCTTGAAAATGATGATCAGATTGAAGAGGAGCGACCTCAATAAGAGAAAACAGAATTTGAACTTGGCAGCTAAAAATATATAGGCCGAACATCCTCTAGAAGATTATCAATTAGCAAGGGATAGTGTGAGGAAAGAAATAAGACCACTGGCTAGATTTTGAGGAAACAAATTTTGCTTCCGCTTTTAATGTAAAATAAATTCCTTGAGAGGCTATAAGTGGCAAAAACACAAACTTTTGGCTTGCAATTATGAAAGATGAGATGCATTCCTTAGTTAAAATAATAATAATACTTGGACCTCGATAAATAAACCTAGAAGGCAAAAAATTATGGACTGTAAATAGATTTATAAAATAAAATAGGGTGAATTTAAAGAATGTTGTATTAGTTATAAGACTACGCTAGTTGCTAAGGACTTCACTCAAAGTGAAGAAATTGACTACAATAAAATATTTTCTCTTGTAATTATGCTTCTATAAGGATTTTACAATCTCTTGTTTCTCAATTTGATTTTGAATTGGAATAGTTAAATGTAAAAACTGCATTTCTAAATAGAAATTAAATGAAAAGATTTATATGCCTCAATCGAAAGGATTTGAACAAAAAGCAAAAAGTAACTGAGTGTCTTTCAAATAAATATGTCTAATTTGAAAAGGCACAAAGACAATGGTACAAAATATTTGATACTTGTATTAAAGGTTTTGATTTCAGTGAATATAATCTATGCTTTATTTTAAAGGTAAGAAGTTTCAAATTTTTGCCATCTTTTATTACATGTGGATGACATGTTGCTTGCTAGAAGTGATGTGTGTGAAATTAATGCTATAAAGCAAAAATTAAAACTTGAATTTGAAATGAAAGAGTTGGGAACCGCAAGAATATTGGGCATAGAAATTAAAAAAGACAAAATAGGAAACAAATTGTTATTAAAACAACAATCCTATATTTCTAAAGTTTTGCATTATTTTCTATGTGAAGCTAAAACTTTTAGTTTGCTTTTAGTCAGTCACTTAAACTATCTATTGAACAGTCTCCTAAACCTGAAGAGGGGGCAAATTAGAATGAAGAAAATTTCCTATGCAAATAGTGTAATATTTGTCATGTACATTATGGTATGTACTAGACCAAATATAGTCAAACTACTAGTCTTCTTATATAGTAAATTGATGAAGGAGGATCCGAGTCAAATGATACTAGTTTTTCAGATAGCTCGTTGATGGCGCTGAGATACCATGAGATAGCGGATAGGCACAAAGATGAAAAATAAATGCAATTTTTCCTTAATTGGAGTAATTTTGACACGTTTTTGGTAATTTGGTCATAACTTTGGCTACGGTTATCAGAATCGCTATTATGACCCCAATCTGAAAATCTCTCTTCGGCGTGCACGTCGTGGTCACGAGCTATGCTCGGTGGGAGTCAATTTCGAGCCCAAAATCCTCCGTTTTTCTTTCCAAAATTCAAATTTTAGTTATTTTTTACTATTTATGGTAATATTTCGTTTCCCTTTTTTTAGACGTTAGAGAATCCGGATTGAGCCAAATTTTTGACAACTTACTTCTTTTATTTCATATTATATTTTGGTGTGATCGTTAGGATTTTGCTATTTTTGATAATTTTTCAATAATTTTGTATTTTGTAGCTATTTAACCCTGCTTGTGGGTTAATTTTCGTCATTCTTGATTATTAATAATATTGAGCGAAGTTTTCAGAGAATTCTATCTGTTTTTGGCGTTTTCTTTCTTCTTCTTTCTTGCTAATTGTCCGTTGTAACTAGCCTATAGGATAACCGATATTGTGATCGACGTCACAAATTCATGAGTAATTTTGGTGAGTGCCACTGAAAGGCTATGAAATGATTGTTAAGATATCTCAAGGAAACATCTAATGCTAGGTTGATATTTAATAAATCTAAAGAGATAATTAATTTAAAAGATTTTATTAATTCTCACTTTGCTGGTAATAGTGACAATAGAAAATTTACATCTGCCTATGTTTTTATTATAAATGACATATGTATTAGCTAACAAAAATTGTTGCTCGTTCATCAATAGAAGCCGAATATATTATAGCTAGGATGCTATAAAGGAAAGTATTTGGCTAAAATGTCGATTAAGTGACAGTTTTGCTGATAATGATGTGTTACATCAACCAATGCATAATACATTTGAGTAGAAATCTTGTCTTTCATACAGGACAAAATACATTGATGTTAAATTTCAATTCATTAAAAAGATATGTTAGAAAACGAAATAACGAATATTGTGAACGTAGCTAGTAAGTGTAATCGAGCAGATATGGAAACTAAAATACTACCTTTACATAAATTTAGATATTGTTTCAAGTCTCTTAACTATTAATACCAGGTAATATTCTTGGACTTAATTGATTTTTGAATTCCTCAGCTAATAGATTTATTATTTGAAAGAGGTGTCAAAGAAAATGACTGACATAAGATTCACATTAACTCCATATCTCATAATCAATTGATATGCTTGACGAACAATTAACCAACATTTTAGTTTCTTGGAAAATGAACTCTTGTATCACATTATTGATAGTAGGGGATGTTTTAGCTAGATTAAGGTCCCATTATTAAAAACGACTCTTGTTTTCTAATAGAGGGTTAGTATCTCTCAGGATTAAAAGCAATATGTTATATATCTACTTGTTTTTTTTGGTTCAATAAATAAACCACTTCAATAGTTGGAGCAATCGAAATACAATTATGATACAAGAAACGGGAAAACGAAAATTCTATGGATTTTTTGTTCCCTTTTACAACATAAAATTCCTGTCCAAAAAAAGAGAAGAATATTGACATGCATGATTTCATATTCATCTCCTGACTAAGAAATTCGATATATATTAAGGATAATGGATAGCAGCATTACAGCTATGCACTGGCTAAAAACTCTTGAGACTGCTTTTCATACTGAAAATTAGCTTTCTTGGAGTCATCAGCAGACCAAATAAAGATCCCATGAAGTTTTCCCTCTCCATTCAATCTGCTACACGCGTCAAAAAATCCATTTTTCGGAGATAATCCACCACTCCCATCAGTGCCAAAACTCACCAGAATTTTTCCTCCTTTATAATTGGAGCTCTGAATATCAAAATACTGAAGAAATTGATTGACAGTTGTCCCCTTGGGATAAGCATAAAATTGGAAATTAACATAGTCTATAAGATGCCCAAATTTTTGCCAGAGAACTAGATAATGTGGCTGGACTGAATCATCTTCATATGGGGCTATTGATGTAAATGACACAATTTTGTTTTGTTTAAGGTAGAATAAAAGTCTTCCTATGCATTCAGCAAATGTGTAAGGATCAGCGTGAAAATGTTCATAGTCTATATCTATTCCGTCCAAATTATATTTTTTCACTATTTGAGTAATCGATCTAACTGCATTAGCAACCCAACTCGAAACCGATGTGGGATTGAAGTAAACAAATTGATCATTAACAGTATCACCAGCAAGACTCATGGCAACCTTAACATTTGGATTCTTGGACTTGATAGCCAAAATCTGATGAGGGTCAAGGTTATTCGTGTCCCAGTAGACGAGAAAATCTCCGTTGGTGGCAAGTGGAGAGGACGTGTTCGTGTAATCAATTGCAAAAGAAAGAATGAAATGAAAATCAACATGTGCATTGATTGGTACATCAGAAAATCTAACATTACTGTTTTCTGCACCTATGTATTCTCTAAAGAGCTTGGAAGAGTTACCTGGGATTATCCAAATATTGAAGGAGAGAAGGTGAAAAATAAGAAGAGAGATTGAGAGTTTTGATGAATCCATGATGATATTTCAACGGATTATGTCAATATTCTTAAACAAATCAGTCAAATTTATAGCACATGAAGAAGATTCCCCGCCGGATTGTTGTCGTATTATAAACTTGTTGTACGATGACTATTGTAGGTTTTCTGATTATAATTAATGTGTTTATGTTCACAAGGTTATAGTTTCTTCTTCTTGTCTTCTTACAGGTACAAACTTACGTCCAACTAAAATATTTCATTCTAGGGTTTTTTTAGCAGAATTTCATGCAGAACGCAAGAGATTTCTATTTATCTTTTGTCATTTAATCGATGTTTGGAATCAGAGATTTGAATATCAGTCTCAAATTCTCTTTGAATATATTTATAAATGTAAATTGGCCTGCCGTTATCTTCTTTTGTATTTTTATCATCAACTTTTATTTCTTGGCATTTCTGCGATCACGCCCTTTTCTTATGCATGTAGCTCTTTATGATGGTTTCAGTGAAAAAAAAAAAGAAAAAAAAAACATTTCTAAAAATAAGATCCTCACTTCAGCATGCTATGGTTGGGGTGTCATGGTGGAGGACTTTGCTATACGTACATCTTGGTGTACAAAATGTTTGATAGATAATAATAATAATAATAATAATAATAATAATAATAATAATAATAATAATAATATCACAGAAAATAGAAAAATAGTTTGACAATATCTGTCAAACTTTCTATACACCAAGGTGCATAAGAAGCAGGTCGGTCATGATATTTTGGGGGCTTTATGCCAATTTTAAATTGGCCTTATATTATGAGCCTATTTGATGGTGATTAAGCCTTTGTTTGAGTCCCTTTTTTTTCTTCATAAAAATACATTCTTTAACAGTGATTTGATACTATTTCAACTGCACATTTCTCAACAGAATACTATTACATGCAAACCCAAATTTTTTCTTTATTTTTTAATTACACATTTTACATCGTAATACTATTTCAAAATGCACTTTTTTGAGAAAAATGGCCCTCAAACAACCCCTAAAATCAAATTTTTGATAGAAGTAGATAAAATATGTGGATTTAAAGTTTTGGAACCCATAAAATATGTGGTTAAAATTAATTGTTGATTTTAATTTAGATTAAAATCTAGAGTTTAATCGATACCAAACAGGGGCTTAATATAATTATAAAGAATCTAACACAGACAACTAAGTCCCAAATTTGAAGAGAAAAGTAATAAAATGTCAAATTTCAATTAGCAATACAAATTACAAGTTTGGCAAACAGAAATACAATGCAATGGCAAAGTGGTATGCTCGTTTGTATGATTATTTTCTCACTGTAACTATTTCACATAAAATTGAATATACATTTGAGTGATTTATGTAAAAAATTGAAGAATATGACTGCAAAAGATAGTGTAAAAAATAATGAAAATGATGATCAAATACAAACATGCTTCTAATTTTATATTAATTTATAAGAAATTAATTTAAAATAAAAAGTTTCTGTATGAACAAGGATAAAGAATTATTAAATTCAAAGTACATTCAACAAATATCTAAAAATATTATTATCATGAGATTAAAATAAAATAGTATAATAACAACCTATGTATTTTGTAGTAGATGTTTTAAAGATAGGAGAGAAAAAAAGAAACCCGTAATGTTGTAACAATTGCAGCGAGATCAAACCAAATTGTATTGAATCTTAAAAATTTTAATTCAAAGGGAGATAATTTATATCTTGTTGGGTTGAAAAAATAATGGTGGGTGATTGTTGAACATGGAATTGGAAAAGACAAAGAGACATTTTGTTTGGTTAAAAAAAGAAAATGAATGTTTTGAAGATAAAGTGTCAACTTAACTATAAATACGGAAAGTAACGTTTATGATAAATAAATGTAAGTGATAAGTTTGTTGCCATATATATATTTTGAAGATTTTTGTATTTTCAGTTTTTATTAATTTCTTATGTTTGCATATGATAATTCTATTTTCAGAATTTCATAAATATAATTTTCATTTTTCTTCAACCAAGCAATTAACTTTATATAATTTGGGCCCATTACCAAACCGGGGCCTTAGGTGATCGCCTACTTCGTCTATTCTTAGGGCCGTCAGCCCGTCACTAATTAAGAAGCTAAATCCCATGGTGGATGGGGTGGAGACCGAAGAATATGACTAGGTGTGGGCATGTGAAGAAAATAAGTTGTCATTAAATAATTTTACTTCAAAAATACTTTTGAATTTTTCAAAAAAATGATACGTTTCAAAATCATAATTACATAATATAGATAGCATTATAACTTAAATTTTATTTAATTTTTTATCGTATAAAGTCATTTTTGATTTTGTATAGACAAACTCATTTAAACAAGAATATGACTAGGTGTGGGCATGTGAAGAAAATAAGTTGTCATTAAATAATTTTACTTCAAAAATACTTTTGAATTTTTCAACAAAATGATACGTTTCAAAATCATAATTACATAATATAGATAGCATTATAACTTAAATTTTATTTAATTTTTTATCGTATAAAGTCATTTTTGATTTTGTATAGACAAACTCATTTAAAAATTTGAAACTAAAGTAAAAAAAATAAAAAAAGTCTTTTAAAAAATAATAAAAAGTTGATAGACTAAAGTCAAATAAAATGTTTTCTAAAAAAGGAAAAAAATAATAATAATAAAGCAAGCCTAAGTGTGGGACGCTTACTGCTGAAGCAAAGTATGTGTTACAACTATGTATCACGAGCAAGTAAAATTCACGACTTTTTTAATAATCATCTAACATGTGAAAGTTTAAATAAACAAGGACGGATAAAATTTAAACTTTGAATATTTGTCATCTATATGACACTGTTCAACATATATAATCCTCCTCATAGCTATTGGTGGTGCTAGAAAACCTTATCTACAAAGTAATAACATAAATAAAGAGCATAGAAGTTTCCTTTGTTCGGCAAGATCTACTAAGCATTTTTTGTTCACTGGACAATAAAAAATATTATTTGGAACAAGAATCTGCAGTTTTTTCTTGGATATATAGGATATCAAAATTTACCTAAAACCCATGTATTGACTGTCTTTATCATGCAAACTGTCTTCTCCCTTGAGTTTCATCGAATTGAATCAATCAAAAGTAGATTTATTCTATTCAAATGAGTGAAACATACAAAGAAGGCCTTTAAATGAAATTAAATATATGAAAATATTTTGGTCTCTTGACTAAAGTCCAAGGATGGATAGAAACAATGAACGCCGTAAATTTAAAACAACATGAGAAGTTGAAATGAATTCTTGAGAGGCTTTGAGATGTCATCTATATTACTCGACATTAGTGATTCGATGAAAAAGACAAAGTTTTGCTATGTAAATAGGAAAATTATATCAGCACCATATTTTTTTTGTTAATTACACTATAATTTAATTAATTTGTATATTTTCTATGATATTTTCCGTGCAAATATTATTTTAGTAAGGTCAAACTATTTTATTCAACTGCGTTTGTTATTTATGGCTTATTTAAAAATATAAGGGTAAAAAAGTGATTTATTCCGTTCTAATAATTTTTTTGTTGTGATCAGGACAAGATGTGCTAAGTTATGAAAAGTTGAAATAAAAGCCATCAACAAATATCGCGATATAATGATAAGGGTTCAATTATCTATATAGACCAATGGCTAAAGTCCATGCGGCAATTTTCCTTCTAATCCTCTAAATTTTTAACTGAATCTTTTAATGGGTAATCATTAAATAGGATTTTATTGGGAAAAAATAAAATAAAAAATCACTGATAGAAACTATAATGGGCAAAAATTGCCTCACTAATCAAAGATATCAAACGAGGCCCACAATATAAGCCCAATCAACGAGAAGTCACTTTTGTCCTAAGTTGTAAACAATAGAAGACCCGAACCATGGTCCAAAACGAATGGGTAAAATCAAAACCGCCATGACTTCATCACCATAAGGTCAACCACAACCTAGAAGACAAGACTTAGGGCCTGTTTGATTCTGAATAATTTAATTTATGTATTGCTACAGTATCATTTTCAACTACACATTCACACAAAAAAATATTCTCCATTTAGTCATAATTTTTTTTCCTATTTTTAACAATATATTCTCCTAAAAATAACTATTTAAAACCTTTTTCCTGGAAAAATGGTTGTCAAATAGGCACTTAGTCTACAGATGGGATTGCCTAACTAGAGGGACACATCATCCCAAAAGCAAAGTATATTTAATGTGATCTCACCTCTTTGAACAAAACAATTAAATATTATCTTACCTCTAAATGCCTCCTTAGTAGAGTCTATTGAGAGAGATCATAATCTTCAACCACTGTGTTCTTGTGGGGTCATTGATTGACAAAATTTCTTAGTTGTATGGTATCACAGATAAGTAAGAAGGTGATGAATATGCACTATAACAAAATTAGTCTGTTGCAATGGGCAAAAAAACGTTGCCAAAGATCTTTTGTAACATTTGGATGTATATTACGATTTTATATATTCTCATAGGGTAAAAGAATACGACAATGTTCATTGCATATTGCGAAAGGTACAAATGAGTGTTGCCATTTATTTTTCTTTTTGAAATGTTCAATGAATGTTGCATTTATACTTTTTGCAATGTTCTCTTCCTGCTGTCTTCTTTACCTTTTGCAACGATTAAAATTCATTATGGTTGCGTTTTTACAACCTTTTTTGGCATATTGCCTTTGTGTCTTAATTTGCAATATATTTTTTTAATGTTTTGCCTTTGCTTATTTATTTATTTATTATTATTATTATTATTTTTTTTTTTTTGGCAACGTTATTTGTATGTTGCCTTTGCTTTTTAGTATTTTTTTTCTGGGCACGAGAAGCAAATTGCAAAGGATAAAATGGAAAGTATTATAAGACGATATTTTCTGGTAGCAAAATTTTGAGATCTATGTAGAACCACTGGCACCCTTTCCATTCTTCCTCTGGAGTTTCTTCGTGTAAAACTCCAATTCTTCGCCCTCCAAAATATATCTAGCAAAATCAATTTC